AACTTTATAAAAGGGCTAACAATGTGAAAGTGTGTAGGAAAAGATATCGGTATCCCACGTCTAAAGAAAAGAGAAAAAAAGATTAAAAAAACATTAACGCACAATGTTAGCTTACACTTATGGGTGCAGTATTGTTTACTGTATAGAAAGCTATGATAGTTCCTATAAACTTAATTAAAAGTTGGCTAATTTAATAATAATAGTACTGTTATTAAAATTCAGTACAAATTAGGTTTAACTTAGTAAAACTTGAGTTGTTTGGATTGTATTTTTCGTCTGGGTGCTAAAAGCCTTATGAATCAGTTTACTAAAATAAGTGTAATCAAACAACTTAAACGCCACCCACCTTACAACAAAGTTATCTACTACAGTACAAACTACCAGTACCTACTATTGTCGATGAATAGAAATAGGTCTACGAGTTGATTTATCCAAGAAGTAATTAAAATAATAAAAATAAAATACCACATCCACCCACGTCGGAGTTTGCTACGAGCTACGAGAATTCGTAGCTATTTTTAACAAAATATTTTCTCGTATAAAATAATATCGTTGTAATCTTGGCACAAGTAAATTTAACATTGCGTAAATTCTTTGAAATGAATACGAAGCAGTAGTAAAGTAAATTGCGAGCATGAATGAAATAGCCATAAAATACTATGTAAAACTTTACTACGCTAGGTTAGTTTAAGTAATTATGTATTAAAGTTATTTATTCTGTGGGTAAGTGGTCAATTACTGTGTACACACTCAAGTCACGAGTGTACACACAGTTGATTATTCGAATTCGGTGAATGAGTGCCAACTCATAACATATTCACCCTGTTTTCATTATGCATGCTGTAACTACAATTGATTTCGGGATTGGAAAATCTTTACATTTGGCGAAAATAAAGTAACTTGATAGTTAGCGATAAAGTAACAGAAAATTCTTCTTCTTTTGTTTAATGGCTATATTAAAGAGGTTTGTTTGTGCCAATTTTGAGTGGACATTGATATAACTATAACAATAAAACACAGTTGTAATTACTTCTATGACTTAGGCTGAGTTGCAGCACCTAACTTTGACCGTAACTATAAAGATAACCGGCGTATATTGTATAGAGTTTAACAGATTTTTGACGTTTGTTAAAGTCAAAGTAAGATGGTGCAACCCAGCCTTAGAAAATAAATGTTTGACTAAAAACTAATGCTCTTATGTTTATTAACACTTACGTAGTAGCCTTAATAAACGTCGCACCATTTCCGGACGAAAACAGCCGGAGCATATTTACAAAGTTAAGTGATTTTCGTCTATTCCCGCAGCACACGACAAACACGCCGACTAATACATCACTGTCACGCGCATACACGTTCCACGCCGCAGTTCATCCTCATCCGCGATCTATCCAGTACTATCCGGGTGTTATTCCTGTAGACCAGCGGTTCCCGAATGGTGGTCCGAGGAACCCTGGGGTTCCATGGAAAGGCCGCAAGGGTTCCGTAAAAAATGTTATCCCACGTTTCGTGACCGACGTTGTTCGCTCGCACTGACTTGTTTACGCACAAGGGAGGGGCAGGGCGTGCTGGCGGAGTAGTACGGGGGTTCCGCTAGGAAAAGTATAATCAATTAGGGTTCCTTGGCAAAAAAAAAATTGGGAAACCCTGCTGTAGACGATAAGTGCTACACGTGTACCTATTGCTTTACAGACGAGATAATTAACAAGTCAGTAAATTAAACTAACTACATACTTCTTCCTCTTCTTTCGTTTGAACGCTGGCATCGACCAAAACTGTGCGATCTCAATCATAAAGAATCAAAAAAATTAGTCCTTCTTCTTAATTCGTATAGCAGACGGTGGCCTTACATCACTGTCACGCGCATACACGTTCCACGCCGCAGCTCATCCTCATCCGCGATCTATCCAGTGCTATCCGGGTGTTTTTCCTGTAGACGATAAGTGCTACACGTGTATTGCTCTACATAGGAGACGATTAACAAGTAGTACATTAAAATTTCGTAGCGATTAGAGTCGCTTCTCAAATTAAATTGCAAATAAACAAATTGAAAAAATCGAACTGCCTAAGGCGGGAATCGAACCCACGCCTTAAACTTACTTAGTTCTTCTTCTTACATCACTGTCACGCGCATACACGTTCCACGCCGCAGCTCATCCTCATCCGCGACCTATCCAGTGTTATCCGGGTGTTATTCCTGTAGCGATAAGTGCTACACGTGTATTGCTTTACAGACGAGATAATTAAAAAGTCGGTAAATTAAGTTAATACTTCTTCCTCTTCTTTCGTTTGAACGGTGACATCGACCAAAACTGTGCGATCCCAATCATAAAGGATCAAAAAAATTAGTCCTTTTTCTTAATTCGTATAGCAGACGGTGGCCTTACATCACTGTCACGCGCATACACGTTCCACGCCGCAGCTCATCCTCATCCGCGATCTATCCAGTGTTGTCCGGGTGTTTTTCCTGTAGACGATAAGTGCTACACGTGTATTGCTTTACAGACGAGATGATTAACAAGTAGTACATTAAAATTTCGTAGCGATTAGAGTCGCTTCTCAAATTAAATTGCAAATAAACAAATTGAAAAAATCGAACTGCCTAAGGCGGGAATCGAACCCACGCCTTAAACTTACTTAGTTCTTCTTCTTACATCACTGTCACGCGCATACACGTTCCACGCCGCAGCTCATCCTCATCCGCGATCTATCCAGTACTATCCGAGTGTTATTCCTGTAGACGATAAGTGCTACACGTGTATTGCTCTACAGAGGAGATGATTAACAAGTAGTACATTAAAATTTCGTAGCGATTAGAGTCGCTTCTCAAATTAAATTGCAAATAAACAAATTGAAAAAATCGAACTGCCTAAGGCGGGAATCGAACCCACGCCTTAAACTTACTTAGTTCTTCTTCTTACATCACTGTCACGCGCAAACATGTTCCACGCCGCAGCTTATCCTCATCCACGATCTATCCAGTGCTATCCGGGTGTTATTCCTGTAGACGATAAGTGCTACATGCGTATTGCTCTACATAGGAGATGATTAACAAATCAGTAAATTAATCTACCTACTTACTTCTTCCTCTTCTTTCGTTTGAACGGTGACATCGACCAAAACTGTGCGATCTCAATCATAAAGAATCAAAAAAATTAGTCCTTCTTCTTAATTCGTATAGCAGACGGTGGCCTTACATCACTGTCACGCGCATACACGTTCCACGCCGCAGCTCATCCTCATCCGCGATCTATCCAGTGTTATCCGGGTGTGTAGACGATAAGTGCTACATGCGTATTGCTCTACATAGGAGATGATTAACAAATCAGTAAATTAATCTACTTAATTCTTCCTCTTCTTTCGTGTGAACGGTGACTTCGACCAAAACTGTGCGATCCCAATAATGTTCTATGACGTGGCCCTTGGGAGGTCTTCCATTGTACAGGACACAAGGCCCATTCAAGGAGCCTATGGTCTGAAACTTCAAAATTACGCACTGAAAACTTTTCTGCAATAATTGGTGGTTTATGTTTCATTACTTTTTTTTGGGCCAGTCCTTATTTTCTTACTTCAATATTAATTATGCTTTTAAACTCGTATTTTAAGCTTGAATTTAATATGACAAAAACTTAAAAGACCTCTTTTTCCAACCATAAAGGGTCGTAAATCACTGTCAAGCGCATCTACAGCACCTATTTTTTTAAACTGTCTGAATTTATCAAGATTTACTCTAGGCTTGTTTGGTCGGTTAACAAACCTGCAAATTAATAAAATTCTTGGTCTTTTTCTCTCCACAACGTAATATTTTGGCGTGCCTATGTTAAGTCCTAAATTCAAATAATAACCCCTGGCCGTGGATTTATTAACTTTGTTAACTTAATCGCGCGAGAGTCGTTACGTTTGCAGGCTGTCTGCAAAATATTAAACGTCTTTTACGCAGTTATGTTACGGCGGGATTACGGCCATAACTTCACACAGCGTAGCAAATATTTTCATGGGTACACAAAGGCATTTTCTGTATTTTCTGCCTGACGCGGTATTCACGATAAACGAAGTATAATTATCTTCCATCCTCCTACTATAGGTTGACTTCAGCTTTCTTTTCATTTTATATTATCCAAGGCTTCATCTATCTCCTACAATACTATAGTAATGCAGTAACTATTAGGAAATCGTGATCCAACGATCTTTACAACTCTTTACGATCTTTACAACGGACTTACAAGCTTAATANGCTTAAATGGACCTTTACGAACAATGGGCATCGCCTTCTGACGTATCACCACAAAAGTTACCCATAAAATGCTCCATCCAACTTATCTGGCCTCGAAACAAACTTCCATTCCAGCCTACAAAATCGTATTAACTACCCTCAGAACAATGCATAGAAAATTTATGTGAAGCTGGCGAAAGAAAACTTCGCGCTACGAGAAAGTTTCGTTTTGTTTTTCTTAGCCTATCCACAGTAGTTAAAGTTTTCTTTGTAGAACAGATTTCCATCAATTATAAACCACCTGTTTAGATAATAGTTACCAAAGTTTTAGCAACTAACATGAAAAAAGCTTTAATCTGATTACTTTGGGTCTAAAATTTCTGAGCTATTTAATATAGATGAGACCTAAGAAAATGCTATCTTTTGTCGTAAAAAAAGTCTTAAATGGTTAGACTAACAGCTGGTGAACGCCAGACCTACGTCATTTTATAAAAGCTGAAAGTTTGTCAGCGTATGCTCCCAATAAAGGATAGAATGTTGGTGAATCATGAAGTTTGGGTCATCGTGGCTTTGGCAGCTATTCTAAAAAAACTGTCTGGCAAGGAGTTGGAACTTTCAAAACTGTCTGGCTGATGTCAATGTGGAAACAACTTCTAATCATTGCCCAAATATTATACATAAAAATCAGATTTTATGCACCGAATTCCAGTCCCCCGCTGATAACGATGTTTTTTGTCTTTTGCAGATGGGATACATGACCTGATGATAATAATGACTTTTTCTTCCGCAGGTGTATCCCTAGTGTATATGATAATGGTGCTGCCAGGCCTGCTGCCGTGGGGCGGCGGCGGCTCCTGGTTCCTGTCGCTGTGCCATCTACTGGGCGCGCTGGCGCCGTGGTGCGGCTCCTTCCTGTACCACCTGTTCATGAACCACACGCGCGGCGAGGCCATGTACCATCGCCTGCTGCAGCTGGACATGCTGGGCATCTGGGTCAGCCAGAGTATAGGTCAGTGCACGACTTTTAGACAATAAAAGGTTTGATTTCGTAATATATTCCTGTACAACCTGTTCATGAAGAATACGCGCGGCGAGGCCATGTACCATCGCCTGCTGCAGCTGGACATGCTGGGCATCTGGGTCAGCCAGAGTATAGGTCAGTGCACGATTGTTAGACAATAAAAAGTTTGATTTCGTAATATATTCCTGTACCACCTGTTCATGAACCACACGCGCGACGAGGCCATGTACCACCGCCTGCTGCAGCTGGATATGCTGGGCATCTGGGTCAGCCAGAGTATAGGTCAGTGCACGACTGTTAGACAATAAAAGGTTTAATTTCATATTATATTTCTCTACCACCTGTTCATGAACCATACGCGCGACGAGGCCATGTACCACCGCCTGCTGCAGCTGGATATGCTGGGAATCTGGGTCAGCCAGAGTATAGGTTAGTGGATGATTGTTAGAAGACAAAACCACAATACGTACATAACTCTAATGCATATTATGGCTTGATTTCGGCCTATGTTCCACTACCACCTGTTCATGAACCACACGCGCGGCGAGGCCATGTACACCGCCTGCTGCAGCTGGATATGCTGGGAGTCTGGGTCAGCCAGAGTATAAGTCAGCGACTGATTACACCCAAGACAAATAGCAATTCTATTCGAAGTGCCTAAGGCTTGATTTCGTCTTACGCTGACGTCGGTCGCGTAAGTCTCTGATGGAATACGGGTATTTGATGCCAGGAGTGCAGTGGGGTGCCTAATAAAGTCAATGATATTTGCCACGCCAGCGTAGAAGGCAATCAAGTCCATGAAAATTTGATAAAAAGCAAAAACAGTCATAAAAGTCATTTATTTTCTGCAAATAGGCTTTTACAAAGCTTTTATTACAAGTTCCAGTATTACTTTATTCCTAGGGAAGCTTTTCGTATTCATTCAGGTAACTCATCATGAAATCATTCCTTCGGGAAATCCCTTGCCTTCTATACTCTTTGATAATCAAAGAACTAAGTGAAATCAGTTATTTCGTGAAATACTTAGATACATAATAGAACTTGAATGTTCTTGGAACTTGCCTAAAACGGATGAGACGAGGAAAACGAAGAAAACGCAAATTGCTTCTTTTTCAACTTAACGACTTAGTCAGTTTAGTTCAGTTGTGTGAGGAAACACCAGACTGATTACTAAAGTTAAATTAATCCAACTTTAGCAACAACCTAACTGACTCATTTATTAACTGACGCTGAAGACAAAATGCTAACACTTTTTGAGAGATCGACCGTAAGCAGCTAACCAAAACTAGGCCACGTGGTTCCTAATTACTTTTATTTCAAAGGCTTTTTCTATAATAGAATAGGTATCTAAAAATAAATAGTAATAAGACTATTTTTAATATGACCTTAATCAAGCCATTTTATAAAGTAAGTAAAGCGAACCCGGATAAATACAAAAGTAAAGGAAATAAATGTTTTGTTATGGAAATATCATCACCATTTTGGGGAGAAGGAAATTGAAGGAATACAAGAATATAACACGACATGGGTTGCTACGCACAAGAAAATGAGATGCCTACGTTTTGTGAATACGTTTTTATATTCTGAATAATCTGAATAAAATTGTCTTTACGCCCACAGGTTTATGTGAAATGAATGTGCGAAATTTTAGGAATGATAGTTTGAATGATAATGTAGTCCAGTTTCTTGTTTGACCGTTTTCATTGTAGTTCCAGTATGTGACAGCTTAATTATTTGCCTAAAAGTAATGTAACTAAAAAAAGTTCCATTCGCAGAATATTACTAAACACAAGTGACAGTTATTGCAAAAGTACAAGATATTATTTACACTTTTACTATTTTAGTAAGCGCCCAGCCCGACCTGGTAAAGCTTCTAACGACTGCTGTTTATTACCTAAATATTATTTACTGCTGAGTTGCGTATCCAATAAAATTATTCATTTGTGTAGACAATTATTAATTTGTGTGTACAGTAGTGTGATACCTAAAGGGACGGTCTCTTTGAACTCTGACCTTCAGCACAATTGTTGCTTTTAGGTTAAGCATTTAGCAGAGTGATTTACAACCATACATTATACGGCCCTTTCGAAGCGCCTAAATTATAGAATGCCATTAATTTTTGACTATTTGACGTGCAGTCGTTTATCACTTATCCGGGAGGCCATTAATCTTCTCCATTAATTCGCTACTCGAGGAACATGCTCCAGATGCTGCGTCTTCGATAACTATGTAGAATTAATATGTCCTGTCAGCTCAGGGAAACAAGATGTACCTATTCTACTCAATCTACCACTCAAAGTGAAGGTCTGGCAAAATACAAACTACTAACTAATAGTGAATTTATACACGATGCCGCGATGTCACAATTTGGAACAATGAATTAAAACTTACAGGGCAGATATGTACCATCCTAGACTGCATCCCAAACATCAGGTGCGATTGTGGTCAAATAACTGCCTTGTTATTCATAAAAAAAACATTCGCTAATTATTTTCATAAATTCAAATTACGCTTTATTAGGTACGTACCTTTCAGTGTATGACTCGCCTCTTCATTTTTTTCTGTAAATTACAAAATTAATACGTTTTTACAACTATGCGTGCTTTAAACCTGAAGAACATTATCATCATCATCATCATCATCNTGCGCTTACGCTAAAATTTCTACAAAGTGGTCAGGCGGAAGAGTCCCCAATAGTACATGTCGCTGGATTCGCAGTCACTTATAATTGCACTTTTTATAGATTCGAAATGTCGAATTGAATATTAAAAACGTTGAGAAATAGATTTCAGTAAAAAATGAGCAGTTTCTGCGATGTAGCTACTATAATTAATAATAATTTTATAGCTCGAAAATTAAAGACGCTATGAAGAACAGGCGACTAAAAATGGCGGCAAATTGAAGAAGTCAAATCAATTCCTAACTCGCGCTTTATAAAAAGTGTAGATTCCGTGGAGGGTAGTTGAACGGGAAACATGGNACCACACGCGCCGCGAGGCCATGTACCATCGCCTGCTACAGCTGGACATGCTGGGCATCTGGGTCAGCCAGAGTATAGGTCAGTGCACGATTTTAGCGCCCAAGACAAGTTAGAACCCATGGCCATGATATCCCAACGGTGAAAGTGTCAGATTGGTCGACTCGAGATCCAATGAACGCTGGTTCGAACCCACTGCCGCATGACTATTGCGGTGAACCCGCTCGTAATACAAGCATATTTTATATTTAGCTTACCACGAGGGGTTTATGGGACTACTCGTATTAGTAATTTGTGCAATACAAGCTACTATACGGTAAGGTCATGTACCACCACCTGCTGCAGTTGGATATGCTGGGTATTGACACAGATGTGTCAAGCAGAGTATAGATCAGTGACTCATAACACCCAAGACAAACATAATTAATGCCCGTTTTCACCATCAATCCCTAATTTTTAAGTGACCCCTATGCAAACAAAATTCTTGTTATTTGTCACCATAGGGGTCACTTAAAAATTAGGGATTGATGGTGAAAACGGGCATTAGTCTCTTAAGGCTTGATTTCGTCTGATGTCGGTCGCGTAAGTATCTGATGGAATACGGGTACTTGATGCCAGGAGCGCAGTGGGGTGCCTAATAAAGTCAATGATATTTGTCACGCCAGCGTAGGTTGAAGGCAATCAAGTCTAAGAAAGCTCATGAAAATTGGATAAAAAGCCGAAACAGTCATAAAAGTCATTTATTTTCTGCAAATAGGCTTTTACAAACCTTTTATTACAAGTTCCAGTATTACTTTATTCCTAGGGAAGCTTTTCGTATTCATTCAGGTAACTCATCATGAAATCATACCTTCGGCAAATCCCTTGCCTTCTATACTCTTTGATAATCAAAGAACTAAGTGAAATCAGTTATTTCGTGAAATACTTAGATACATAATAGAACTTGAATGTTCTTGGAACTTGCCTAAAACGGATGAGACGAGGAAAACGAAGAAAACGCAAATTGCTTCTTTTTCAACTTAACGACTTAGTCAGTTTAGTTCAGTTGTGTGAGGAAACACCAGACTGATTACTAAAGTTAAATTAATCCAACTTTAGCAACAGCCTAACTGACTCATTTATTAACTGACGCTGAAGACAAAATGCTAACACTTTTTGAGAGATCGACCGTAAGCAGCTAACCAAAACTAGGCCACGTGGTTCCTAATTACTTTTATTTCAAAGGCTTTTTCTATAATAGAATAGGTATCTAAAAATAAATAGTAATAAGTCTATTTTTAATATGACCTTAATCAAGCCATTTTATAAAGTAAGTAAAGCGAATCCGGAATAAATACAAAAGTAAAGGAAATAATGTTTTGTTATGGAAATATCATCACAATTTTGGGGAGAAGGAAATTGAAGGAATACAAGAATATACACGACATGGGTTGCTACGCACAAGAAAACGAGATGCCTACGTTTTGTGAATACGTTTTTATATTCTGAATAATCTGAATAAAATTGTCTTTACGCCCACAGTTTTATGTGAAATGAATGTGCGAAATTTTAGGAATGATAGTTTGAATGATAATGTAGTCCAGTTTCTTGTTTGACCGTTTTCATTGTAGTTCCAGTATGTGACAGCTTAATTATTTGCCTAATAGTAATGTAACTAAAATAAGTTCCATTCGCAGAATATTACTAAACACAAGTGATAGTTATTGCAAAAGTACAAGATATTATTTACACTTTTACTATTTTAGTAAGCGCCCAGCCCGACCTGGTAAAGCTTTTAACGACTGCTGTTTATTACCTAAATATTATTTACTGCTGAGTTGCGTATCCAATAAAATTATTCATTTGTGTAGACAATTATTAATTTGTGTGTACAGTAGTGTGATACCTAAAGGGACGGTCTCTTTGAACTCTGACCTTCAGCACAATTGTTGCTTTTAGGTTAAGCATTTAGCAGAGTGATTTACAACCATACATTATACGGCCCTTTCGAAGCGCCTAAATAATAGAATGC